CAGGACCGTTGCTGTAATCCTGGCAAATTGTAGCTGCTCTTTGCTCAGATATATTGCATGTTAATGGAGGTTTTAAATATAAACCCTGATCTCCAGTGCTAGCAGACTGTCTACTGGCAGAACAAACACTGCTAATTAGTGTGATTCTTGCCCAGGGACACACACACACACACAGCACTTTTGAAGCACAGATATAAGTGAAACTGCCTTTGTTCGTGCATTTTTTTCTGCTTTTTCTGACAAACAGCGCTCATTCAGGGATGTTTAGCATCTCAGGAGAGGCTAAAGGTGACGGGACACACACAGCAGTATTACACATTCATGAAATGGCAGCGCAAATGGCCTTTGCACATTTAATAGCTGTTCAAATCCTTCTTTTCGGACTGTATAATGTATTAGTAGTGCTTAGATTATTGCTCTGGTGATTTGAACAAAACCCTTGACCCATCAGCATGGTGCATAACTCGTGTGTGAGGTTGAATTGCGGTGTGCTGTTATTGTTCAGAGCTTTGTGGGATATTTGCACGTTTTTTTTTTTTCATGCAATTTAATGCTATTTTATTTTATTGTCATTTTTAAAGCTTGTCAGCCACATCTCATTTCTCTAAAATTAAAGCAGAAATGCAACTTCTATTTTTGCTGAAGTACTTGGATTTAATTCCACTCTGCAAAAAATGTGCAATTTAAGCTTTAAAGTTATTTTGATGAGGGGCCACTTTTCTAGGCCGAAAAACTTTGCTTTGCATGCATTTAATGCATTATTGTGCCGGGTTTATTCTATAAATCAGATGTGAATGAAGCTGGCTACTGACAGACCATCAGGATGCTTCTGGTGTGTTCAGTGCTCAGGTTTGCTGTGATATCCAGAGAAGGAAAGGTTGTTATGATGTAACTGAAGCTGCAGGACACTCGCTGTGGAGAGCATCAGATGTTGGAAGAGAGCGGCTTTTATTCTCCTCATCACACGAGTTCACGGGCAGGCCATCGCCCGTCTGTGATCTGATCCTTTCATCTGCTCTTTAAAGGTTACACAGACATTTTTCTGCTCACCAGGGACAACAGAAACACACAGAGAGGCACAGAGACGTGCGATTATTGATGTTATGCCTCACACATTTCCATGGAGATTTGTTTTTGGAAGCATTATAGTAATATATTGCCTGTTTCAGTCATGAAAGAAAAGATGCTGATGCTGATTAATCTGCTAATAACTGCTCCCACCTGGTTAAGACAGTTAATATTTGTTTTATGTATTTTTTTTTTTTTGTGTGTGAGTATTTACAGTAAATGTGTAAAATGTTCAGGGATGCACCGATATGAAAATTTTTGCCGATACCGATAACCGATAATTCTTTATATTTGAAAGCCGATAACCGATATATCGGCCGATAAACTTAAATCCAAATTTTTATCTAATTTTGAGAGCCTGATTACAAAAACAAAAGTTTCACAATTAAATCCACTTCCCAAGCACACAGTTATAATGATGTTCTCATTATAGTGTTGTATAGCTGATATGACAGATTTGCGTTGCTCATGTTGTCCCGAACCAGATTTTCATTTTTTTTAAAGAGATTTCAATCATTTTTCAAGAAATTCAAAAATACATTATTTATATTTTTTTTAAATTTTTTTAATATATCGGACACATTTTCTTACCAGGCCAATAACGATAACATTAAAAATGAACATACATCGGCCGATACCGATATGCTGGCCGATATATCATGCATCCCTAAAAATTGTATATTTTTGTATTATATTAATATTACACACACAACAAAATTAATATAATATTAAATTAATTCTTACTCAAATAAAAAAAAAATACTTTAAAGAGAAGTTGAATATATATATATATATATATATATATATATATATGAATATATGTGTGTGTGAATATATGTATATATATATGAATATATGTGTGTGTGTGTGTGTGGATCTGTATATATATATATATATATATATATGTGTGTGTGTGTGTGTATATATATATATATATATATATATATATATACTGTATATACACACACATATACACACATACAAATAATACATGACTGATTCTTTAAGCTTCAAGTGTTTCAGATCAAATGTTGATTATAATGATTTTACAGTGGTAATCTGGTGGAAACCATTATTATCATTGTCATTTTTGGCAAATTGTGAAATATGCAATATCCTATCATGGTAAACGTTTTATTTATTTACTATTATCATGGTAAAGTTGGCATGGAATAAGCAATTGTTTTGTGTTCTTTATGTATAGCTGAGTAAATTGGCCTTTTGATCTAGAAAAGATTTCTTTGTGATGGTGGGGAGATGCTAATGTTTTTGATGTAAGATTTCGAGAATTGCCACTTTTGATTTAATGGCCAATTTAAAGGCACTTGAATTATAATGAGATGTGGCCACATCACCCACAATTCCATGCGTCAGAACAAAAATCTGTGTAATATGGTAACCCCAAGAATGCCGCTTGCTTAGACTAGATGTTCACCGGCATGGAAAGCTCAAGGGTGAAAATTTTATATGTAGCTTTTCCCAGGTAGATAAATTGTACTTGGTCACGTCTCCTCCTCCTCACAGTGTCTCTCAATTGTCTGTCCTTTTTTCACTCTTTATCCAAAACCTTCCTCCCACTCCATTCGATCTCTCCTTCTCATTTAAATTCCTGTATGGCATCCTCTGGAGGGGCAGCTGGGATTATGTGACACACAGAAGCTATCTCTTCGTTCAGGCTCCGATGTGTGGCGATGCCGAGAGCGGTTTCCATTTGAAAAACGCCTTCTGAATCTGATGGACTGACGGCTGCTGAATTTGAATCAAATCCTGGGTGGTGGCTTATGTTGGTGAAATATCCGGAACTGTTAAATGTATTCAGTCCAATTGCAAACAGCAACAGTGAGCTTGATGTAAGCGAGGCGTGAAGTCGATTTCCTGTAATTTATGTATTTGAAATGGTTGTGTTTAACAGGACTCGTTCATTAAAGTTAAAGGGATAGTTCACTGAAATGAATTTTTGGTATGTTTTATCTTACCTCAAGGGCATCCAAGATGTAGGTGTCTTTGTTTCCGCAGTAGTTTCAATTTTGATATTTTTAGGTCAAACCGTTCTTGTCTGTCAGTCATATAATGCAGGTGTAGATTGCTCTAACTTTAACGATTAGCTCGTCCTGCATTATCTGTACTACAGACATGAATAATACTCAAATCCTGAGTATATTTGATGAGGAGAAGCTGGGTTTGGCCTATTGGATGATATAATGGGTGAAAATTAGACTTCCCATTGACATTATCTTGATGATGTTATTGAGACAAAGTTTGACATATCTTGTCTGAAAACAGGGCAGCAAATAGGTTGAAATTGTGTAGGATAATTTTTGTTCAGCAAACCGTGGCTCACAAAGTAATGACTAAATAAAATGTGATTTAGTTGACGATTGAACATGGTTATTACCATCATGTACAGTTCAGTGTGTTTTGCCTGTGTATCAAGGCCAGGCCACATGTGGAGAATCAGATCTTAAGACCCTGTGTTCATTATCCTTATTATATTCTCATTGTGTCAAGATTATTATTACTGTACATGGCTCTCTGGAATACACGATTCTGATTGGTCGGTCATGCAATTCTACAGGCAAATATTTGTCTCTTACTGTATAATTGGCTGTTGTGTTGTCCCTGGCAACCAATTTCGCATATAGTTTCTCATATCACTTTGTGGTCTCTTTCTTCAAACATAATATAATTATTCAGCCTGTTTACTGTCAGTGTTCTGGTCTTGGTATGCTTTTTCGTTGCCTTTTCTCCCTATATCACATGTCACACAACTTGGTTAGACATATGGCTTTCATTTTCTTCTTTAGACTCAAATTATTTTGTAAAATATATATTTTGCATAAAATGGAAATATGAGCAGTTCAGCTTGTTTACTTTACAGTAAACTAACTTTTTTTTTTTTTTACATTTTCTGATGTTATGCACATTTATTTAACATGTGGCCATAATACATTTATTTATTTGAATATTTAGCCATATAGAGTGCAGTAGTATTATTTTTTCATTAATTTTCCCCATGGGGATTTTAAAATATTTGTTAAAGAGTTATAGCCATGAACCAAGTCAAGTCAACGAGGTGAATCATGACATTAGACACTTTGATTTGAAGCAAAAACATTTTTTGAAAAGTCGAACAAAAACACAAAGGTAAAAAACTGTACTTTAATGGCTTTAGAGAGGGAAATAACTGCGATCCCATGAAGCATCGAGAACAGAACAATTGAAATAAAAATGGAGAAATATAAAACTAATTTACAATATCTATAAATACAATACGTTATATTTTAAGTTTATTGCAATGTATGTGTGTATATGTATATGTGTATATGTATATGCGTATATGTATATGTGTGTGTATATATATATATATATATATATATATATATACATATACATATATATAAATACACACATATATATACACTTATATATATACACACAAATATTTAAGGATGTTGAGACTGTAGGGAGATGGACTTGTCATTCGCTGTGCTTCATGAAAGTGGGTGGAGCCAAGAACTATTTTGTGTGTTGCTTTTTTTCCCTCTCTGATGGGTGTAATTTACTACAGCATCATGGGTAATGTCATTTTTCACCAGGAATTCCACTTTTAAACATTATTATTATTTATATTTCACATACAATTATTTTAAAAATAAGCTGAAATAATGTGTGCTGACAGTTTAAGCAAAAGCAAATATATGGATTATATTTATTTATATATGGATAGTTTGTCTGTCTTTAAAGGTTTGTAAGTTGTTGTTAAAATCAATTTCCTAATGGAGAACAAATTGAGTTTTTAGCTCCGAAACCCGACTATTGCACTACACAACAAGGCCTGACCCTGTCAGGGTTTATTTAGCAATAATGACTGGCTTACGTAATTACCTGAACAAACATCTGACCTGTGTCTGTCTCTCTTGTTCTCCCTCCAGGAATCATTGTGCTGCTGCGTTGAGCTCCGGGATTCTGCTGCACCTGTTCACTTTGCGGATCTGTGAAATGGATAGATAGATAGATAGATAGATAGATAGATAGATAGATAGATAGATAGATAGATAGATAGATAGATAGATAGATAGATAGATAGATAGATAGATATCTCAGAGAGAGAGAGAGAGAGAGAGAGAGAGAGAGAGAGAGAGAGAGAGAGTATGAGGCAAATTTTTAAGTCTGAAGGAGCGATGTGACGTTGGATTCCTCCTACAGCTCGCCGGCTACAATGGACCTCCAAATCAAACACTGAAACCTCACTGCTCAAGGTAAGAGCAAAACCTTTCCTCAGTAAATACAGGCTGAAAAAAGTCAGTAACGTTTTTTTTGTTGTTGCTGTTGCTCTGAAGTCCACCGTTTGTCAAAGTGTCCTGCACCAGTCATTTAAAAAAAAAAAAACAATAGAAATATCCCATGATATGACCAGATTAAAGGAGTAGTTCACTTTAAAAAAAACTTTTGCTGATAATTTACTCACCCCCATGTCATCTAAGATGTCCATGTCTTTCTTTCTTCAGTTGAAAATAAATTAAGATTTTTGATGAAAAGATTCCAGGATTTTCTCCATATAATGGACTTCAATGGGAACCAAACGGTTCAAGGTCCAAATGAGAGTTTCAGTGCAGCTTCAAAGGGCTTTAAACGACACCAGACGATGAATAAGGGTCTTATCAAGCGAAGCGATCGCTCATTTCAAAAATAAATACAAAAGTTTTACAGTATAAGCTCAAATGCTCGCCTTGCTCTGTTCTGTGATGCGCGTTCGTGACTGTCCTGTTCGAACTCGTTCATCAAAACTAAGGAATCTTTTTTCGAGTCATTTGGTTCATTCAACAAACGAAATAACTTGAAAAAAGATTTTTTTTTTTATATTTGAAATGAGCGATCGTTTCGCTAGATTAAGACCCGTATTCATTGCCTGGTGTCGTTTAAAGCCCTTTGAAGCTGCACTGAAACTCTCATTTGGACCTTGAACCGTTTGGTTCCCATTGAAGTCCATTATATGAAAAAAATCCTGGAATGTTTTCATCAAAAACCTTCATTTCTTTTCAACTGAAGAAAGAAAGACGTGGACATCTTGGATGACATGGGGGTGAGTAAATTATCAGCAAAAGTTTTGTTAAAAGTGAACTACTCCTTTAAGGGAACATCCTGCATTTAATTGAGAAGTAAAATGTTTTGTTTAATTTTGTTTACCACAAAACACGATGAGCTTTGTGCTTTGTATCATTGCATGTTCACACAAGCACACCAATGGTTTTAAAATCCAGTTTCATTCAAATAAGTCAAGCGTAGAAAGCGTGGTCTGTGGGGTTCATTTTCATTTGGTCTTTTCACACATACAAGAGCTGCATGTTCAACACACTCTCTGATCCTCTCAGTCTGCAGGAATATTCAAAAGATTTTTCTTGTTGTTTTTGTTTTCTCATTGTTCCTGTTATTGCTGCTCCACTGGCACAGCGTTTCTCATTATCAGATCTGTTACCAAACGCTCCACAGAGGCCTGAAAACATGGACAGATTCCAGCGGGTTGTGTGCAAACGCGTCTGTGGATAGACCGTGCGCGTGTGTGTTTGTGAGTCTGTGCATGTGTGCACTAGTGTTCAGGACTTGTTTAAGGAATGTGTGTAAGTGAATGTATATCATCCAAAGGCTAAGAAGTGTTTCAGACTCGACGAGCAGGAAACCTGGCTGTACAGGAAAGGAAATAACTTATCAGGCGGCAGATGGTGGACAGCATGTGCTACACACACACATACATACTGTATGAGTCTCGTATATGCTGCAAACCAAGGCTGCATTTTTTTTTAAATCAAAAATTATTTTTTTTTAAATATAATTACAATTTAAAATAAATGTTTTCTATTTGAATATATTTTAAAATAGAATTAATTCCTGTGATCAAAGCTGAATTTCCAGCATCATTTCTCCAGTCTTCAGTGTCACATGATCCTTCTGAAATCATTCGAATTTCCTGATTTGCGGCTCAAGAAAAAAATATTATTATTATCAATGATGTAAGCAGTGCTTCATATTTTTGTAAAAACGCTATAAAAAAAATCAGGATTCTTTGATTAATAGAAAGATCAAAAGATCAGAATTTATTTGAAATCTACTTTTTTTTGTAACATTATAAATGTCTTTGTCACTTGTGGACAGTTTAAAGCTAAACAAAAACTATTAGTTTCTTTAAAAAAAAAAAAAACTGAACATTTTATGCATATTTGTGTTTATTTCTTCTGAAATGGTTTAAATAGATGACTTTTCCAAATTAGATTCAGGGAAAAAAAGTCCACATAAAATGGTTTTAAATAATTAAAAGAATTATGTTTTATAGTTATATATATATTTTTCGTTTTGAATAATTTTATTACAACAAACAGTTTAAACCGATTCAGCTGTTCGGTATGTTTGCTGCAGACGATTAAATGACAGTACATTGGCCAAATAAAAGCACATTAAAATCATTGCGATTAATTACAGTATTGGTTGATTTTATATTGTCAGCAAAATCACTGCGAATCACGCGTACATTCATGAGCTCGATACTAACATGTATACACTCTTAGAAGAAAAGGTTCTATATAGAACCTTAAAAGGTTCTATTAGCGCTACGTATTTGGAACCCCTAAAAGGTAAAAGGGTTCCTCTGGGTTCTATATAGAACCCTGGGGTTCCATACTTGGCCAATAGAACCTTTTACCAAAAAAAAATGGTTCTATATAGAACCATTTCGGAGTTCCATATATGAAGCGGGGGATGGAACCATTTCTGGTTCTAAATAGAACCATTTCTTCTAAGAGTGTACACTCACAATTGCTCATCAGAAACCCTGTTTATGTGTCCCGTTCTGTCAAGTGGAAGTGTCCGAAGAGCCGTTCAGATCTCAAACTGAATGTTGTCCTTCTGATTGTTATCGTTCATCACACTGTGATATTTACAGGAGCTTTGCTGCTCTCTTCTCTCACAGCAGAATATCCATGTCGTTCCAAACCTGAATGAATTTCTTTCCTCTGTAGAACGTGAAAGGAGAGAGTATCTTGGCTGAATGGGGACCAAACATGACTAAAAAGCAGCATGAAAGTAGTCTGTATGATCGGTGTGCTGTCTTCAAAGATTATGAAGTCATATGATAGCTCAAAGTGAAGAATGAGCACAAATTTAAAGTAGTAGTTCACTTAAAAAAAAAAAAAAAACTTTTGCTGATAGTTTACTCACCCCCATGTCATCCAAGATTGAATTGAATGATGAAATGATTGAATGTGATTTTTCATTCAGAGCTATCATGTGACTTTGAAAGGCTTGGAATATAATGCACAAGAAGCATGGACTACATTTGTAATACTTTTATGGTGCTTTTTTTTTTTCATTTTTGGAGCTTCAATGTCTATAAACATTCTGTGAATATGGTTTGGAATGTGGATGAATTGTTCTATTAACCCGATGGCGTTTCCGCGTCTTTAATGGTTAAGCACAAGAGACGTCTCTCCTCCTCTGTCTGCTCGATCGCTCATCTCTCTCTTTACGATCGTTTGAGTCGTTTCATTTCCTGCGCTGTCTCGGCTCAGGACCAATCAAAGCTGGGATTGCCCTCTCCTGCTTTCCTGCATGGATTTCATGTCTCATTAATAAAATGCCAGCACACACACACACACACACACGTGCACACACTCTTTCTCTCTCACAATGAACCATCTGATTCATCAGAGCGTGTTATAATGTCACAGCTCCCCTTGGTTTAGTGTCCTCAACGGAGACTGGCATTCTTCTAATCCAATCAGTCATGGGTGGGCGGGGCTTATGGTGAGAGCTGGACTCTGATTGGCTGTTTAATTTCACTGCAATATCTGTCCAGTCAAATGTGGCGTTAAAGGTGAAGCGTGCAGTTTTATGTTAGATTAACATAACCATGTGGTATTTGGGATCTAGTTATTCAATTCCATTTGGTGATGTTAGTGGTGCAGAAATTACACACTTCACCTTTAATAAGCCAAAGGCATGATGAGAAAGTTAATGATTTAAATAATTTGTTTGTTTTATTGTGTAAAATTCATTATAAAAATGCATCAAATTCTAACTTGCTTTGCAGTGTTGTTTTAGTATTATTCACATTCACTATATTAATATTTGGAATTGGCTTTAATTCTAATTTTAGTGTTATTTATCTTTACATTTCTATTTATTTTAGTTTTAGTAATCTTAGTACTTCAATTTAAACACGTGACGTTCATTTCGATTAGTAGCTCATTTTTAGGTTACAATTTGTCATCTACGGTTTATACTTTATTTCAGCTTGATATCAATAAATGACAATTATTTTGAATAATTTTAATTTTAGTTTGGCGTTACCAAACAGTGTTGCATTACAAGTCCCGGCCTACACTTTTTATTCTTTTATTATTCTTCATTCAGAAATGCGTCAGCAGAATGGTTTGCCAATGCAGCTTCATGTTGACTTTAAACTCAAAGAATATTGTGATTCGGTCTCAGATTTTGTTAGATTGCAGCTGTGGGTGTTTGGAAGGTATGAGTATATCTTTACCATGTTTACCTCTTTATTTGCTCTGATGTGTCAGTTTGTGTTGGCCGTGGCCACGCCCCCTCTGTATGATGCCACCCCTCATGTGACCCGGCCTAGAGAGAGAGCGAGCGAGAGACACTTGGCCTGAAGGGGCTCAGATCAGTGGCTTCTTGTTGTAAATGTGTGTTAGTGCAGAGATTGTTTGTGTGTGTGTGTGTGTGTGTGTGTGATCAGGACAATGGCGCTCAGTGTAAATCCAGTGCGGCCCAGATTTTTATAGTTCTTTCTCACAAGCCAATCGGAGCGAAAAACAGCCTTATGCAACCTTAATCAACAACATGGCACTGGCAGTCTGCTCCCACACACACACACACACACACACACGTCGTGCTGAAGTCTGTCATATTGAGAGCCGGGCATCTGGAAACAGTCTCTGAGGAATTCTGCAGGGTGAGAATGATCTGACTGAACCTGCTGAGTTACGTCAAAATAAAAGCTCGAGCATGCTCTGGAAAGCTGGTTGTGAAATGACATGGGATAACCTGTTTGTTTTAATATGAAAGGCTGTATAAAGCATCATCAAATAAAATGAAAGTAGTTCATATGACTTGTGCTCTATGTTCCAAGTCTTCTGATGCAATACAACTGGCTTGTGATGTCACTGTATAGAATCACTGGGCTGGGCTCATGAATAATTAATTAGCTTGCACACTGATGCTGTGTTGTTGCTGTATAGTCACGTTAGCT